TTCTTCCTCTTAGAAATTCTCATCTTATGGAACACCTCATGAGCAAGAAGAACATGATCAGATATTGATCTACCATGAAGGAAAGCAGCTTGTTCTTCAGTGATACAATTGCCAATAAAATTTTTCATTCTATTAACAATCATGGAGGCCACTAATTTGTAGGTAGTTTGACACAAACTTATAGGCCTAAAGTTGGATGGAATAATAGGATTTTTAACTTTAGGGATGAGAACAAGAAGAGTATCCTTCCACTCATTATGCATGATACCGGTTTTAAAAAAATCATCAATGGCTTTCCATATATCTTCCTCCACAATCTTCCAATAAAACTTGAAAAAGGAATTAGTAATACCATCAAGTCTAGGGGATTTATTGTTACCTTGTTTGAAGACCACATTGATCAACTCTTCTTTTGTGAATTCCTCATTAAGTAGCTTGGCATTTTCCTTTGATATTCTCAAATTTTCTGGACAATAAGGCCACCCCGTCAGGTTGCAACCTCTAGCTATCCAGTTGTCCTGAAAAAAATTGTAAAAAACATTTTCAATTTGCTCCACATCATCAAAAATAATCCCTTGTTTATCTTTGATTTACCAAATCCTGTTTCCATTCCTTTTAGCCGAAGCATATTGATGAAAAAATCTAGAATTTATATTTCCATCATGCTGCCATCGGATATTAGCCCTTTGATTCCACCAAGTGGCAAGTCTTTTTAAAGTCACATTAAGATCATGGACTTTACTCCTCAAGGTTTTCAATTTATCAGCCGTTAACCCTCCATTTCTGGTTTCTTCAATCTGAAGTTGCAAGATGTCTTACTTCAATTCTTCTTTATAAGAATTAAGTTCTTTGCGTTTGTTCTTATTCCAATAGTAAAGAGCTTTTAAAGATTTTCTCAGCTTCCTTTGGAGGATTTCAGCATTAGTACCAAAATCCATCTTCTTCAAAGCTTTTGAAATGATGTTCCAAGTGACCGGATAGGATTTCCAAGTTTCTTCAAACCTTTAAACAGCAAAATTCTTCTTTGGCGGTTCCACCACACTGATGGCAATAGGTGCATGATCCGAAGCAACTCTAGGCAAGTGACGTACCTTAGCCATTGGGATGCTTTTAAGAGCTGTAGAATTTAACAAACACCTATCAAGTCTCTCCAAAATTCTGGAAGTTCCCTCTTTATTATTGCACCATGTATCACTTGGACCCACAAATCCAATATCATGAAAATCATTGTTCATTGAGAACATCTTGATATATTTAGTACCATTAGAAAGATGGAATCTCTTTCCCCCTTTCTTATCCTCCGTAGAGAGGATGCAATTGAAATCACCTCCAATGATCCCTGGATCATCACCAATCATACAATCTTCAAGCTGTTGCCAAAGGGACTTACGAGTATAAGCATCATTACTTCCATAGACCGTAGCAATGTTCCATTTAACTATATTGTTGATACTAAGAATTCCCATAACCAGTTGTGAGGAGTGATTCAAGACTTCAAAGGAAGCCGTATCCTTCTTCCACATCACTAGAATTCCACCCGAGATTCCAATAGCTAGATGATGAAAATAATCCCAATCGTTACCCATAATCTGATTAATGTCATTCCCATCAAGCGATGACATTTTTGTTTCAGTTAAACCAATGAAAAACTTTTATTGTCCTTCAAAATCTCTCTAAGATATAGGGAGGTCTCCTTCTTTTTTGCCCCCCTACAATTCCAAAAAATAAGTGAGGCCATTAAGACATAATAGGGGAATAATGCCCCATTATTTTACTGTTTATTTTAATCCCTTTCCTCTTTTTTGTATCAGCTTCCATAGGTCCCAATGATCTCAATTCCTTGGCTAGTTTCACTTTACCAGAATTTGAAATTGAAGTTATTTGATTTTTAAGATCTTGATCAGCAATTGGGACTTCAACTTCCAGGTGAACATCACTTCCATATTGATTCAGAGGTTCTTCCTTTTCCAGCATCCTTGTCTTTTCTTTCTTATTTAATTCCCCTTCTTCCAGACCTCCTTCCAAAGCTTGGAACTTATTCACCCCAATTGGTATATCCTGTAACCTAATTCCTTCAGAATTCATATTTCTCCCAGAGTTAAAGACTTGTCCTGCTTTCCTTCTATTTCTGTAGTTTTAACAAGCTGTTCCACAATTTGATTTTTCTTATTTGATTCAACAGGTCTAAAAATCTGTTATTGAAACTACTAGCTCCACCACCTCTCTTAGTATTTCTTACTCTTCTGTCTCTGAATTTAACATGGATCCAAGGTCCATAATCTTCACCCTGTTTCTTTAAACCATCTTCATTTACAACATCTGTCCATTTTAGAACTTCCACCTTTTCTTGTACCATTGTTTCCTTGACCTGAACAACAACTGCATCAGGACAGACATCTTTACTATGTCCAACTTTACCACAACGATAACAGAGAGAGTTAAGTTTTTCATATTCAACTCGTTGAAAAGTTCTACCATGAATCCCTTCAATCCTAACTCCCCTAGGAAGTTTCTTTTCTAGATCAATTATAACACAGCAGCGAGCGTACTCTCTTTTGCCCCATTTAAATGAGTTCCCATCAAGCATCATAGGAGTTCCAATCATGGAAGCAATCATGGGAATATTTTCTTCATCCCAGCAACTTAAAGGTAATCCAGGGAACCAAATCCAGACTGGAGAAGAGATACCCTTAAGCGAATCAGTAGAGAAAGAAAATGACCATCTATCCATACCAATAATATGATTTCCTATATACCAGGGACCTCCGCTTAAATCTTCTTCCATTGATTCCATGGTGGTAAATGAACACAACATCCAATTACATCCCAATGTGGTAATATGAAAGCTACCAAGCTTACCCCATTGTCTTTTGAGTTCCTGACTACAAACAGAGAACGGTATATTCGATCCCAGCACCTTGTCAACCAGAGACTTCTTTAAAACCTGAGAATTGGCAACTTCC